TCGATTTTATCGCCGAAAAGAAATGAAAGGTTTTTAGGCAGGTTAACCCGGTGGTACGATAGATTATTACCTTTAAGTTTTCCCCCTCCTTAAAATAAAACACCACCACAGATCAATAATGGAGATCATAGGCTATTTATTAAGATACCCATGAACCGATGCACCCAGACAAGCCATTATGATGCTACCCTTACCAATGCCAAAATTATTATGAAAATTCATTCAACAAATTCGCCAAGGGTGATGGAAAAAAAAGAAAACAGAGGGGAAAAACATTTTGGGACCGATACATGCCAAAATTGAACGATTGAGGGCCGAAACCTTGCAATCAAGTTTCAGCCAATGGAAGTACACAATCGATTGAACATGCTAATATAACAACTAAACTAAACAAACCGGCCGAAGGTGTAATGTCATGCGAGCGAAATCTAGCTAACGGCAAGAGAGATATTTAAATATCGCATAATGAATGCACGAAGAGAAAGCAAAAAACCAGACTGGTTCTCAACGATAACAATCCAGCTGCTCAACCTTTTTTCAGTATAATAATCAGTTTTGCAATTGAAAAAAAAATTGTTGCACTATTTCTCTACTTCCACTCCGGACAAGTCGGATATGAGTAATGCCATTGTAAAAACTCAAACACAATCATGAATATTCAACCAAAACAAGGTATTAAAGAATTTAACGAATCTAATCGCAACTTTTGGTTCAAGTAGTTTTGACTCGGACAGAGAAGTGATACCGTAAGGAAAACTGGCCCAGCAATCTACTTCCTCTAAAAAATTGAATACAAGTTTCTCATTTCCTTCACAATTCCCGGACCTTTCCTACCCCATCATTAACACGGAGAACTGGGTCTACTCTGTGATCACAAAAGACAGTACGGTGGCGTGGAGACTGAATCAACCCGATATTCTTTCCCTGAAGTTTGGAGAAGCAAACATTGGAAAGGAGCCCGTGATTAAGATCATACGAGACGCAATACGCGGCAAGAATCCAAAAGCAAAAGAGTTAATAACTAACCTGGGGCAATAAAACGGCCAACGTTTTCCGTTCAAAGAAAACTGCCTGCGGATGGACGAGAGACTCGCAATACCAAAGGCGCTTGCGACCCGGATCATGATCCGATTGCACTACTACCACTGCGGCCGCGACAAAATGTACGCCGCTTTTAAAGTCATCTGGATGCCCATGATGCACAGGATCTTGGCAGCGACGGCCAAGTTATGCAAAGACTAACTGGAAGCAGATAAAAACCTAAAACCGGATATAGTCAAGGGTGACATAGGGGACACATATGCACCAAAGGAACCCAACGAATCAGTTGGACTTCTGGGGGCCAGTTATTTACGAAAAATGGAGGAAAATGTACGCTCGTGTAGCGGTAGATATGTTTTCTCATTGTCCGTCGGCCCATGTTGCTCTAGTAACAACTCGAAAAACCTCTTGGTATTTGAAAAAAAGTATATGACTACGAATGGATATCCCAGAAAACTCCTCATAGACCAGGCTTCCGGATTTTTTCCGAATAAGATTAAAATCTTCTGTGAAAGAGAAAATGTTGAATGTTTAAAACCAGGTGTTTGCGATTGCAGAGCAAAAGGCATGGTCAAAAGAACAATTGGCTGTCTTAAAAACTACGTTATGACGTATCTAAGAGAATCCACTGTGCAAAAGTTCAAACCTCTTATACTCAGGGCCTTAAGCGCGTTGAAATTGTTTCTGCACGGCAAAACAAACCTCACTCCATTCGAAGCGAATCACGGCCGAGAAGCGAATACGGTATTGCAAAACTGAACAAAACGACCAAGTCTGAATAATCTTGACTGAACAGCGTAACTAACCAAAAGTTGTCTTCTTTAGACAAAGCGAGCGGTAGAGCAGACAAGGAACCTTTCGGAATGGAGACTGGGACCAACGTAGCGATCTGACGATGGCCCCACAAACTAGACGCGGTCCTAGATTGCTGGACGAAATGGATTTGGCAGCAAAGGAAATTGAGCTCCATCATCCGAGAGCACCGCCAAAGCAACGACGCCGAACAGTAAAGCCACCATAGGAAGCCGTCTCCCAGCAAACGGGAATTATCGATCCTAAAAATCCAGCCAGGTGTAAAAAAAACTTGACCTAAAACATGAAAAAACACGCCACATACCGTGAAAATGAAAAAAGGCCATTTGCTATGTCGCGTTTAGGAGTTCACAGGAGTTGCAGGCCCGTCAATAAGTGTGGTGGAAAAGAGGGCAGAAAAACGTGCGGAAGATTTAACTTGGGGCTTACTCATAGGCGCTGAAAAACCCTCGCTCCAGAGCCAGAGAAGATTGCGGGCAAAGAAATCAACTACTTTAAAAATTACCGCACCGGCAAAAAATAAGCAAATGAGAATCGCCCAGTCCAGCGACGATGATTCCGACGACACAACAGATGAATCACGCACCAAGCCCGCAAGTGCGGCAAGTAAGACGAGAACCACACTAACAGCACCGGAAACGCAGGCTCACTAAACTGAAGGCAAGCAAGTTGAGGCAGAGGCAGCGAAGATACGCCATCACGTCGATCAGCACGGACACGGAAAGCACGAATCAGCACGAACACTGAAAGAGGAGTGATGATGGAGGGAGTGATGATCCTAAATGGGGGGATTGATGATCCTACGGATGCAAGAAGGAGAAACCAGGGAGAGAGTAGGCTGAGAAGAGCCTAAAAACTCAATCGTACGAAAACTGCAAATAAAACTCAATTAACTAGAGATACATATATCTATCTACAGTTGGAATTTGATTTCTATAATCCTAAACTATTGGTTTAGATTCTGTGGATGACCTTATGAAAAAGGGGTACATTTTATCTTTCTACAAAACTTTGCTAATGATATTCCTGAAAGTTCCACCTGTCTTTTCTAATCACTGTTTTTCTAGAAGTCTGGATACGCCTAAAATAACAAGTGCAGTTCTGCCTCAATTGCATGATATACAGTTGGACATAATTTACAATTAATTGTCATACATCCTATCTCTTCTTCGACTTTAACACTTCAGGTCACTTTGTGCAAAAGGGAAAGGAGCAGAAAAATCCTAGTGTTTGATGCACACAACACGTTTCTTGTTAGCTGAATCAATTTTGGTGCCTTTTTTGTACAAGCTACCGAGGGCGTTAATGGTCTAGAACAAAGTTATTTAACTTGAGATTGTAGCCAAATATGATTTTGAGTCCATGAATGGAACAATTTAGAGCGAAAAGTGAATCAGCAAGCAAAAAAGTTCGCTGTTTTTCTCATGATCGACAATTTATAACATAAAGAACGACAAATTAGTCAAGTCCAACGTTCGAGAACGGTGTCTGACGGTGATTTAAATGCTGTACTCCAAGATCAGATATCATTAGAAAAACGGTTTATAAAAAACGCGCTTCATTTTGTTTTTAAAATGCGCACCTCATTGCACACACAGTTCTAAGCTCAGTCTTTGGGTCATAATTACTTCAAATTAAATAATAAATGAATTGCATCCCACCGGTGAGAAAATCAAAAGATCTTGAAAATTTTAATAAAATTAAGTCTATATCAAAAACTTTGATCGAGACATTTTGGGCGCTTTGCACAGCAACCAATTTTTATTATTTATATTAAATTACAAAATTTTTATGTTTTAATCATTTCATTTTTTTCAAAATTTTATCATTTTGTTATACTTGTGTTGCAATCAAATGGCAAAATAAATAATCTTTATTTGTCTTGGCATGTTGAAATTGTAGGGGCTAAATTTCAAAGTTTCTACAAAAGCAAGAAAACTTGAGCCCTACAACTTAGCAAACTCAAGCGAACTAACATCCACTGAATTCCTCCACCCAGTTTCGAGAGATATTGATCGATTATATTATTATTTCAGTAGCTGTATTATTGAAACGTAAAAAATCTACTATAATCAATTATTAATCAATTATAATGTCTTCAAATGATTAATAAAACATGCTAAATTTCAGTAAAGTTATAATCAATTATAATAATTTATAATCTGTTGTTTTTGAATATATGTTTCAAGCAATTTTGATTGATTATAACCAATAATAAAAACTTTTTTTTTAACTTTTCGAATTTCCAAAATCAAAAATTTTGAAAAATGTCAAGTAAAAAAAAACACCAAAAGTGCTAGAAAATGAAATGGCGTATACTAGTATGAATCATACCAATTAAATGTGGCCGCCCCCTGTACCTGTATGTAAATTATATAAGTTGACCCTCTGTTTTCAGCTGTATACCAACTTGTAGAGCGAAACGCAATAAGAGACAGATCAGGGAGAGGACATATTACAGCAAGAGAACAGCATTGAATAACATATGAGTCGTTAATGGTTAATTTAAACTTAGATAATGATTATTGATTAAATCCTTCAACTCGCTTTAATTATGTTTAAATTGAAAATTCTATCACTTTTTTCTATGATTAATAATTTTTATAATTATTTAATTCATCAATTTTTTTTTGAAAAAGCCAGGAATTATAATGCCTTATAATCGATTATAAGTGGTTTTCTGTATGATCTATAATCAATTATAAGAATTTGTAATCTTTTGAAAAAATCACGATTTTGTATGATTATAAAAGGTTTTCTGTTAGAGATATAATCAATTATAATGGATTGTAAGAGATTATAATCTCTTGGAAAATATTACAATTATATTTGATTATAAATCCTCTAAAGACCTAACTTTGGTAATTATAATCAATTATTAGTTTGAAAAAACTATTATCATTATAATCGATTTCTTACGCCTAAACTTGGATGCGGGTTACCAAAGATATAGAAGTTTGTCAAAACACTCCTGGAATCACCACTGTTATTTATCCAGATGAAACACTGCCGGGATTTTAACTTTCGGGTGATTATCTTTACATTGAGACGTTGGGACTTTTGAGATGTGTTTATCATTTAGATTAATTAATCAACAAGTGGTTAGAAAATGAAAAAAAAACTCAATAAACATTTTTATATTCTCATTTCAGTATATCTCAAAACATTTTTTGTACAATTTATAAACTTTTAAAAAAATAGCACAAAATCGGTGGTTTTTCAGGATGAGATGAAAAATTTACAGTTTCGCCACACTACACTTTCTTCGGTCGGTTGTTTCCATTTGGTGGTATCTTCGTGAGTTGGCCTGTGAGCAGGTCAAGTGGTAATACTGAGGTGATTCGGCTAATTGGTCTGCTGAGATCGCAATATCAGAAAGAGGGGAAGAAGGTTGACTCATCACCTCTTCGTATGGGGGAGGATGAATGGGAACAACTGCTAAAACAAAAATAAACCAAAATTTTGTATTTTTGCCATTTTTGCTAATCTTCGTTTAGCAAGATTGCCCGGTTTCTTAGCTATTATGTTCCGATCTCAGTTTCAAAATTAAAATATTTGCAGATTTCTTTCAAATTGAGAAAATGCTATTTTTCTAACATTATTCTTTTGCATTCAAGTATTCAATTATGAAATCTGTAATATTTTGAATTAAAAAGCTTAAAATTGAAACGTAGCTTTTGGGAATATCAGACTGGAACCTACTCCTCCGCCTAATCAACTAATATGAAAATCAGTACGTTCAAGCCAGTGTTTTTTTTTCAAAACACTTTTTTTGTTATCCAAATATGCTTCAATACGATACTCCACTCGACTCTTTAAAAATTTGCAGCCTGAATTTTTCATGATGGTTGCAAATAAAAAAACATATCAATATTCACCTGATGATTGCACATCAAGTTGCAAGCCTGACGTCGGTTTGTTATTGCTCCGACTACTATTGCAATAGAGTCGCTCGTATCCGCGTGAATAAAATTCCGAACGAGGCCTGGGCTGTTCCGAATCGCGCTCTCTTCTCGTTGAAGTCACGACTCCGCGACCCGAGAGATCCAAGCATCTATCCACATCTAAACTTCTTCCAAATCTAGGGTCTTCGTTTTCTCGAGGGTTGTTGTTGTTGCTGTTGTTGTTGTTTTCGCGAGCGGGTGTAGAGGGGAGGTATGCATATTGGGAGGTGGGGGAGGGGGAAATTGCTTTTGGCCATCCTATCTTGATGGTCCATTTCGTTTCCATTGTCGTAAATTCGGTGTAGAGCTTGAACTGAAATGACGGAGTTAGAAACTTATTCGATTCGCGATCTGCCTGTTGATATTATATCAGCAAAACCGTTTAAAGCGCCAAATTCCAAGCTTAAATAATAAAGCTATAGCATTTTTGAAAGAGCTCGCTTTGCTTATACTATTTGACACATGAAAACAGGTATAATTATTATAGCTTTAAAATCAGTTTCCATTGTTTGATTTCAACTTTCAGCACTTTTTACAGGTCTACGGGAACTTTTCAAAAATGCAAAAATGGATTGGGATAATTGAAAACTTCTTTTTCCCAGGAAACGTTTCCGAGAAATGATTTTTATCGGCTTTTTTTCATTACGAGAAATAAAATCGGTCAAATTTTAGCTGATCATACCAGCTTACTTCAGGAGATCTCAAATACCCCTGAAATGGTTTGGTTATTCGAAGGAATAAAATATCAAGAAACCCCCTCACCCTTCCTCGTCAAATATTTGACACTTTGCCGCCCAAAGGGTTCCACTTTGTTATATTTTTTTCATTTTTACCAACCAAACCCTACAATTGTTCTAAAAGCGCCAATTTTTCGACTAATTTTCATGGATGAGCAAGCGCTGAAAATAAATTTCCAATAAGTGGCTCGCGGCGCTTAAAATTTTGGTAAAATAGGGTCTTCATAGTGCAATGGGAGAAGTCGGAGAGTAAGTTTAGTCGACATATAACAAAAGGTCGACAAAACTTTAAATATATCTTAAAAAACTCGACCTCCCCGCCCTTCAAATAAAAAAGGTCCACGCTTGGTTCTAAAGATTAGTTTGAACAAATGCTTAAAAGCGATCAGATCTTGACAGAAAAATAAATACAGGTATGTAACGAATACAATCATTTAGAAGCACATTCACAACAAAATAGGGGAGGAATGAGCCCAATTTTTGGTCCCAATTTCGTCATGGGATGGGATTAATGAGTGCCCAATTGTCTTATAACCGGACTTCATCGGTTTCGATGTTTCGTCAAAACCAAGGGACCAATCGCATTAAAGTTTAGCCATTTTTTGATGGAAAAACATGAGCGAAAGTTTTGATCTACGTAATCTAAATAGAAGTAGATTGTGATGAGACTTGACTTACCCTGAGGATGTAGTTGATGTGGATGAATGAGCAGTGTTGCATGTGTGAGGGGGGTATGTTGGGGGGAATGGGGAGGGGGAATTGGGAGAGGGGGTGGCAGAGGAAGTCCCGCCTACACACACTGTTCTCCTTCACCTTCACAGCCCCATCTTTCCCTGTGTAGCTCACCACCTAAAACAACAACAAACACAATATAATCACAGAAAAAAAAACAGGAATATTAGGTTGCTGTGCGGACTGTTTGCAGACTGTTCCGACGCACACTGTTCCGTCACAGACTGTGCAAAAAAAAACATGGTTTGACACGCTGAGTAACTTTATTGCATGTCTATGGGGATAATTTTTTTAAATTCTAAGAATGATTTTTGTAGAAAGTCGCAATTTGTATCAAGAGAATGGTTGCATCCCCTGTAATGGAGAGACTAAAAGTTAGACAGCTAACTTTAGTAAATCAGAACTGAACAAACGCTCCATCTAACAAATACGGACACTCCAATTAACCCAAAGTTGACCCTACTGAATACTAAAGGCAAATTGCGGCTTCGACGCCGGCGTTTTTGTACTTGGCCTCAAAGAAACATTTGACCTGTGAAATTGTAGAGAAGTGAAAGTTCGTCTGATTTTGAGACCCCTCAATGGGACTTAATCTTAGAGCCGGGTAAAGGTCACTGCTAACAGCTACCAGTCCATCTGCCTTTTTCGGGACCCTCCTTCAGTTCAAGGCACCAATTGGTGATCAAGTACTGGCTCAGGCTCTGAAAATGAGAAGACAAAATTCTCTTTTCAGCAGCTATCACTCCCAGAACCGTCTCCGTGACATTGTCAGGGACGCAATTCAGAACAATATGGTTTGCAGGGTCAAAGACTCCAACTAGTTCACTATCATAGCTGATGAGACAGCCGACATCTCAAAAATAAAGCTGATCTCAAACTCCATTTAAGAGTGATATGCCACTGATATTCGAGCACAGTTCTGGGTTTGAAGGTCTGCTCTCCTGAGTGCTCTTTTTCGAGCGCGAAACTTCTAAATGCTTACTTCTTATCTCCGTCATGAAGAAGAATTGACTCCCTAGCTCAGCGCTTTTTTATCCCCAACGATGTGGAAACTGAAGTCGGGGAAGCCATCGACAGATTTGTCGCAAAAAGTTCATAAATCAATTTTATTCATTTAGTTCATTTTTTGTAATCAAAAATTCATAATTTTTGCAGATAACTGAAGTTCAACTGTCACCACATTGAAAAGACATTTGGAAAATTATTATTTGGTTCCACCATCATGGGCGGATTTAATTTTTTTTTATTTGGTCGGGGGAAGCTTAATTTTTTATTTTTTTGGTCGGGGGAAGCGCAATTTTTTGGTAAATTTTTTTCAAAAAGTGCCTAAAACCGCGTTTTTGGCCTGTTGTTTTTCAAAATTTTGCTTGCGGCGCATAAAATTTTGCCAAAACAGGGTCTTTTTAGTGCTTTGGGGGCTCGGAAAATCAGTTTAGTCTATCTAAAAAAAGATTGACAAAATCTTCGACAATTTGTTAAAACTCCCCCCCCCCCCCCCCATCGAGAAAATCCTAGATCCGCCCCTGTCCACCATCATGAGAATAGCAACCAAAGGAATTGCTCAAATTATGGCAGTAGATCGGTCCAATATATCTGATACTGCGGCATAATTTTGGATATTAAGAAAACGAGATTTTTCACTTGCATCGACTTCAAAAGCCCCCTGCTATTCAGACCGTCTGAGGACAACATTATATCATCTTTTATATCCTGATTATCACCCGGGGTGTTATTTTTGATCATTTTATACCCAGAGGTCAACCCGATATGCATTGAGAGAGAAGAGAGAGAGAGAGAGAGAGAGAGAGAGAGAGAGAGAGAATACTTTATTGTTGCATCAACTTTTGCAGTTACAAAACTGATTGTGGGTGGAACAAGTGTACATTATTATTTAATAGGTGAATAAAAAAAATGTTGGATTCCCGCCCCAACCATATTGGCAGAGAATAGAAATTGAATCATTAGCAATTTCGACGGAAAAACAAACTGTTTCTTATGTTGTGGCTTTTGTATAACAAAATGTACAGGGACAAAATATTTTAGCATATAACAATGGGTGGGTCAAGGATTTTCTCGAGGGGAGGGTTTTTTGAGAATTTCAATTGTTTTTTGAAGTAAAATGCCAAAAGAGCCACTTTTGGGCAATATTTTGGGGTTTTGACAAAAAGTTGCGCTCCCCTTCAAAATTAGTATAGATTGGTGCCGGTGCCAAGGACGTTTTTAGAAAAATTTAGGGTCGGTCGTCCAAAATTAGATGTTAGTTACTATTTATGGGAGCAGGACCTGAGGGCGAAGGGGTGGCACGGAAACCAGCGTCTCCCCGTCCTCACCCCAAATCTGCTTCCGGTTTACCCAAAGTAAAACGCTCGATAAAAACAAACTTTAAGTATTTCTTGCAGTCAGGAAACTTAATTTGCAAAAACACTTCAATCAGTCTTTTTCAGAGCATGAGAACTGTATGTCTAGCATTTAAAAAACATAAAACTTACTGTGGTATTTACCCTAAATTTTGGTCTGCAGGAAATATGCATGAGCTTCAATCAAAAATCACTCCCATAGGAAATTATAAAGGTATTAAATTCAGACCGTTCTCTAGATTTCGTTCTCTAGATTATCCCTATCATTCATCGAGTTCCTCGAACTTGAGAATATTGACAGATATATTAAGTCAAGAGATTTCAACCAGCTACTTGCTCTTTGAATTCGCTACTTTAAATTCTGAACTATCGTTGCATTCAAAGTCCTTTCTGATGAGACACAACTGAATTTAATAACTGTCTGATAGTCATCGAGAAATGGATTAAAAAAGGCTTTTTTAAAAGATTTATTCTTATCAAAACCGTGACTTGACTGGTATTAAGTTTTTAATATTCTGTTGCAGGAACTGTTTTGACGACTTCAACAGAGCAAATAAACTTCTGGAGACAAGAAAAATTATTAAAAACTATTGACATGTCAGATAGATGGATGGGAAAGTCCCCCGTGCGCGAAAGAACGAATACGCTATATTTTATCAGCTAATTCGGATTCATTTTTCATAAAATTGGAGAAATAAGCAATAAAATTGTCAGTTTTCATTTTGATTTTCATGCGTTAGAAGATGGTTGTGAATATATTTTCTTTTTCACAAACAAGAAAAAAGGCAAAGTAAAAAATAAAGTATCACGAATACGAAACCAGAATCGAGTATTTACCAAATTAATCTAACAAAAAAAAGTAGTCGGAAGATGGTTACTTGGTCAGTTTGAGGGGTGGATTTGTTTTCATCCCTCGAGTTTTACTCTAAGATAAGTATTATTTATTTTCTGTATCTTCATTTTACACAGGCAAAATCTGTTTTTCAAGGAGCTCGCGTTTTGAAGTCTTAACGAATGGTATGTGATGTTTAGCTTTTATCTTTTTTTTAAAGTTACAGCTCCTCATTTTGAAACGACTTTGAAGTTGCGACTTTGAAAATTATCAGCACAATTAAGGTCGCTGAAAATATGTACACAGAGTACACGAGTTGACCAAAACTTCTTTTCGTACAACTTCCATATTTGAAAACTTCTTACCATACAATTCCATTTGTAAAGTAACTTGTATGAAATCTCCATGATAAGATTTTTTTCCATAATGGTATGACAAGCATAATGTGAAAATGGTATGACAAGCATTTTTCAATTAAACGAAAAATTCAGATTTTTTCTAAAATAAATTTTTCGAAAGTTTATGGGTTGTGTTTGTGACCTAACAGAAGTGACAAAGACCTAGATTTACTCAAAGCTAGAGTCACCGAAATTTAGACGTTTTTGCATGTAAAATGCTTTGGAAACAGTTTGAACTGTCTTAGATTTGTCTTACACAAATCATATAGCGAAAGTGAAACTTTTAAATTTTAGCAAAAATTTTTCAAGATGAAAAATTTTAAAATTTAAGATTTAAATTCATCAGGCATTGATGAAAGCAAACTTAAACATGCCATATAAAACAAATTTTTGGAATGCAAACTTTCCAAAAATGTTCAAAAATTGTTGCTATCAAGTTCGTTAACACTGACTGCTTTGTCTGCCATTTTTGGATTCATTCTTAGATTTCAACAACTTTTATGATCAGAAATGTTTATGGTAAAAATGCTTGTCATACAATTTCCAGATATGGAAGTTTTATGATATGCAGTTTTCCATACACTTGATTTTTTTTGGTACATGTAATTGTATGGTAAGCATTTTCGATGTATGGAGGTCAACCCTCTTAGTTTCGCTATTTTTATGTGATAATTTAGGATATAAGGCGACAACGCATGCATTTTAATAAGGCGTCTAAGGATCCATTATTCTGTTCAATAACGTATAAACTTAACTCAAAACTTTCGAAATATTTTATAGCTGTGACCTGTAGTAATTTAATCGCTTGTAAGAAAACTCAAGCCGTAAACAAACTGCTCGTATCAGGGCGAATCCCCGAATGTTCCGACTGCCTTCTAAGATCTATTGAGCGGTAATAATATGAAAACTTTTAATGTAATAAAATGAAACGAAACTTTTTTTTAATTTGAGGTTTTTTGTTAAAATCATTCTACCACAGGTCATAAAAAAATTAAAGTGATCGATTTTGCTTCTAGTAACAAATCAAAAATGGCAAATAAGCTTTTTTCAACCAGATTGGAACGATTTGTATTAAATCTCCGCTAGCGCGAAATATATCGCGTGTTAATACTCCTAATTTGGCCAAAATGGCAATGTTTAAACCCACATAACATCCCAAAAAATGATCACAGGCGAAACATTTTTTTTTCAATTTAAGCTCGGGAGAACAATACATTTTAAATGCTATAAAAAAACCGTCAAAAATGGTTAAGTAGAAAGTAGAAATTTGTTTGAAGAAAATAGCCACCTCCAACACAAATATTCCGTTACTTTCGTTACAAAAATTGGAACAAAAAGGCAATTTAACACTCGTAACTGCTTTTTCGTTGCTTTCGTAACCTGTGATCCGCGTAATTTTTCTTTGTACCATTTTTTTGCCATGTCATTTTTAACCTTTAGTGATGGGTCAAAAGAGTTTGTGCGAAGAAAGAACAAGCATACGTAAGTACTTTACGGGTAGTACGCTGAAATGTGTATCAAAATATGGTCGGTCGTATGTGGGCAGCTTCTCAAACAGTTCGTCTAGGAAAATACCGAGCAACGAAACCAATGTGAAGTACCGGTGAGATAGCTCGCACCGAGCGCCCATAATCGATTTTGTTGTCATAATATGGTCAGTTATCTATAAAATTACAAAATAATAGATTATGATCCATTAAAATAGAATTATAATCCTTATATTTTTTTATGCCATTACTATACATTATACTCGATTATAATGGATTTTTTTGAGAGGTTATTCATCTTTATTTCAATTTTTTTCAAAGTTATCTCATATCCTGTTTAGTGCAGTTGCTACGTATTACGTTTTATGAAATGTTACATTTCACACCAAAATTTCTATTTTTATCTCTAATTTTTCAGTTCAATGCAGTTTTACACTTCATATCACTGTTTTTTAACCAAAATCGCCGTTCGCAGAGAAGTGGGTAAAAATTGGACAATGTTAGGGGAAATTATTTAATAGTTGAATCGGGGGAGGGGGGGGGGAGATCGCTTCCAGTTTACCCCACTCCCTTGAAAAAACTTGAGGGTGTGGCGTTCAGAGACATGGCATTTAGTAAAAGTCATGGCATATATTTTGCATATTTCTTGCAAAATTTCAGCAAAAAATAAACGAATTTAGTTCTATAAATAAAATGGATATATTTTTCAATTAATCTTAATAAAATTGCTATCAATTATAAAGAATTATCGTGGCAAAAATAATCGATTTCAGTGCCAAAAATAATGGATTTTAATCGATTATATTGGCAATTTGATCAATTTCTGTCTAATTTTTACGTCTTTAATGAACTATAATGGATTATTTTTGTCTCCGCTTTCTAATATATTTAATTAGAATCAATGGGCGCTTGGTGCGGGCAAACTTAGAAGGTCTCTTCAGCCACGTATTTCTTTTGAAAACTAATTTTGTATAATGTATGCATTTCGAACAAACGCGCGCATACAAAATTGAATGTCACAATTTTTATGTGAAACTGCATTCGAATGCTGTTGATTAGCCAATATTAGGAATGTTCAACAGTTAATTTTCTATGAATCCAACTCAACGTTATTTCATGAAAAAGTCAAACTTTCTCCACCTAAACCGATTGGGGGATATTGTAAGGTTGATCCTTACTTGGTTCGATATAGGGGGATAGTTGAAGGAAATTTATACGAGCTTTAAAAAATTGACTTATTATTCTTAAATTTGAGTTGAAATTTCTCAAGAATTATTTAATTCGCATATTAGTAATTTGCCTAGTTGTCTGAATTGAATGCTCTTATGATTAACCAAAATTTAAAAAAAAACTGCAAAAATGACATTTTAGGGCAGCTTTGGAAAGTTTTGACCAATAATATCGCAAAAATTCTAAATGTTGGGGCCTACGGAGCCTTTGGAAAATTTTTTAAGACTGGTTCTTCAGGTTTGTCGATCAAAACGGGCGTCAAAAAAACTTGAGGAGGTTTCAGTCTGAAAATTCAACCCATATGTCTGATCACCAATTTTGCATGAAAAAACATGCCTAAATCAAAATTACTTTCCATTATTGTTCGTCTCACCGTAAATTATTTCGTTAATTGCATAAATATTTTATTTTTAAAAACGAAAATGCAGGTTTATGGGAAAACACCTGAGAACCAAATTGAGAAAAAAATTCCTAGCATTGATTCTAAACATGAAGCAATTTCGGTTCAATTTTCGGCAATCTAGTTTCTTGTCTAGCTTTTAATTTAGTTTTATATCTCGTTGCAATTGAACTAATTGCCCTTTCTTCCTTTGAGAAAAATGAAAAAGGAAATTTGAATAGTATAATCAAAGAGAGTAACAATAGAACAACTGAAAGAAATTCCCAAGCTACCTCTTAAAACCATAAAGGGAATGGCCAATAGTTGAAGCTTCGCATCAGATGAACTTAATTTGAATGAACATTTTATGAGTAGTAAGTTCATTGCGGCAAACAATTAAACGGATTAACACAAGTTATGGATTAGAAGTTTACAAGTTCATGGGTTAACACAATAGTATAGATCAAGAAATGTTCCGGTTTCTCGTAAAATGTTCCAATCACGTTTTGGCAAGACAAACATTTATTAGCAAGGACAGAGGCGGATCTAGGATTTTCTGGAGGGGGGGGGGGGGGGGAGGGATTTTCAAAAAAAAATTTTTAGGTTGACAAATTTGATTTTCAGAGCACTACCAAAAAAGAAAAAGACCCTATTTGACCAAATTTGCTGCGAAATTTTGAAAAAAAGGACAAAATTGCGTTTTTTTTCTGTGCGCGCTCCCTCAAAATTAGTATATTTTGGCGCCGAAGGCGTCTTTAGAAAAATTTAATGGTCAGTCAGCCAAAAACTGATATCTCAAAATAGTACAAAGCGTCCGCTCCCTTATGGAAACCTCCACCCAGAAATAAATTTCCACCCCTATATAGAACTAATTCAACGATATCTGAGTTTGTATCTATAATGGATCTCCCTCTATAACTATAGAGAGAAATAGATGAAGAGATCCAAAATAGATATAATTTAGAAACTTGAAACGGGAGCGGAGTGCACTGGATCTGATGCACATATGCACCTGGACCAACTTACTTGTATGAGGTTGATGTATCCCCCGTGAACAGAGACCTCTTTGGGGGCTGTGGTGGATAGAGTAGAATGGAGCTGCACCACGTCACCGGGCGAATAGCAGTCCCTGATCAAAACAACAACAGTATACAACCAGAATTAGAAAAACAACAGTAGAAACCAGGGGCGGTTCTAGGATTTTCTCGAGGGGAGCGGCGGATTTTCAATATTTTGTCCTCTTTTTTTTTAGATCGACCAAATTGATTCCCGGAGCACTCCCAAAGCACTACAGAGACCCTGTTTTGGCAAAAATTTCTGCGCCGCAGGCAAAATTTTGAAAAAAAAGGCCGAAAAAGGCGGTTTTAGGCAGTTTTTGGAAATTTTCGACCAAAAAATCGCGTTTTTTTTCGGCGCGCGCTCTTTCCTCAAAATTAGTGTATATTGGCGCCAAAGGCGTCTTTAGATAAATTTTAGGGTCCGTCACCAAAAATGAATATCTCGAAATAGTGCAGAATTTCTAAAAAAAACGTCCGCCAACCCCCCCCCCCCCCCCCAAATCCGCCCCTGGTTAAATATACGATGTAGAAAGTTGAAAAATAAAATTTTCACATGATGGTGAGAGATTTATTGACTACTGATATTGAGCAAAGCATAAATTTTGCTTCTTGAAAAATAGATACAAAATTTTTAAGAAATAACTATCATTTTAGTTTCTCTTAATTTTTGTTTATTTTATTTCAAAAATAAAAATTGAAAAAACGGTGATTATTCCTAAATGTCTGATTTTTCAAATGTCACCAGTAATCTCGAGAAAATGAGTCACCTGTCCCACCCGACGGTCAAGTCCAGATGATCCGGCATGCAACACCCAATCACAGCCTCCTCTGACACTTCACGCTCACGCTCAGGGACTCCTCCCCCTTCCCCTTCCCCTTCCACAGCTGGAAGGCAACATCTGTTGTTGATGATGTTGCTGTTGGTGCCCCCACCCGAGTTGGAATGGTAATCGGGAGGAGGGGAGAGGCGGTTGAGGTTGTGGTTCAGGAGACAGACGTCTCGATTGTTGTCTGTGCTCTTAAACGAGAAAAAAAGGAACTTTTATCCGCATGAAAATAAGTAGTATAAACTCAGCAGCAAAATTATTAATTTCATCAACTAAAAGACGTGAAATGTGAATTATTAAATGACGTGAAAATCAGTAAAGATGGATGTTTGTAAATAAATTTCGACGATGTGTTTTTGAGGATCATATTCCTGTTAGACTTTCCAGTTTTTTAAAATGGAAAAATTGTGATGCGTGGTGCATGTCTAAGATTTTCACGTGGAGTGAAAAAACAGAAATCGATCAATCACAGTAGTAATTTTATCAGTGATGATTTCCACATGATAATTTGATGAAATTTATTGTTATCAGAAGAAAATAGAAAATTAGGCTTGCTTGAGGAGGCACCAAATGGATGTCTTTGACTATCCGTCTTTTAGTACCCTGTAACGAATTGCCACACTTATAATGAACTAATGCAACGGTTAATTATATGTGAATTTTCTACCTAGTAACGAGTATCCCGCCTTTGCAAAAGAGGTGAATAGTTAGAGAGATCCTACCTGATGTGATGATATTTGAAGATCCATCGATGGCGATGCTATCAACTGTTTTTCCACTACTTGCACTGTTCTGCTGCTGATTTTGAACACATTCTTGTTGTGGGGTCTGAAAGTATAAAAAATAGAGGTAAATAAGATTAACTATATTCAAAAAGCATCCTATAAATAATCATCTATAAAAAATTGTGAAATGTGTTTTTTATTTTAAAAAACTTCAGTAAGAATGATAAACTACGAAACACCGACAGCACTTGGCAAACAAGTTCAAACCAAAAAAATTACACAAACCTGAAGACCCTGAATTTGAAAAATCAAAAATATTATAAATTTCTGGCTTTACAGCTAGGGTTTTTCACTTATTAACAATTTTTTTTGAAGTTTTTCATCATTATTGTTAGATCATCACGAAAAACGAGTTCAACATTGGTCTACATTTGAAGCATAAAATTGGCGTTAAAATTAACTATTCAAAAAAAAGAACTGCTTTCAATTTCATTTGCGACAAACTCAATCTATCAAAAGATTTTTCATTGTTGCGAAAAAATGGCAAACTGTTGCCAAAAAGCGAGAAAAGTCTCCCCTAAGTTTCTCTATAAGCGCACTCCGAATTTTTGCATTATTTTTGTAAATTTTTAAAAATTATTTGATTAATGTCTTCATTTGGAGATTTAATTTTAGTCGCATATTTAGTACTCATAACACTTGGGTCAATAAAATTAAAATGGGTCTTTCAAAAAAATTTTATGCGCCTTTAAATCTCCAGAAACAGTTTCTGCATTTTTTCACAGGGTGTTTGTTCTATGTGTTTGTTTTGTTCTAGATTTGATGGCACAGTGCTTTTTTAAACTATACGGACCAAGGGAACAAAGTTGAAATTTCCACGCATCTTTCTCAAAGTGGCTCAAACGTGACAAAAAGTAAAGAAAACGAAATTGCTTAGAAACTTAATGATGTAAGTTTTTTTTACAGATTTAGGAACTAACGTTTTACAACGCTTAAGAATATTTGAAAGTTAATGGAGCAAACTGTTGACAAGAAAACTAAAAAAAATCCCCTAAGCTTCTCTGGAAAAGTGTTTGGAGCTTTCAAATTAAATACTAAATTTGATCGTATATTGAGTAAGTTAAAACTTGGGTTACTGAAAATTAGATGAGTTGATCAAAATGAAGTTATCTTCCTTTAACACTTCGAAAACAACTTGAGCATTTGTTCAGTTGCGTTTTTGCACTTTTCATAAAATTGTTGGTAATTTAAAATATCCGAACAAATTAAACAAAATTGGAAACTATAAACTCAATTTTCCCAAATTGAATTGAGATGAGACAAAAAGTCAGAAGAACAAAATTGCCTAGATTTATGGTTTAATTTATTTTGCAAATTTCGGCACGAATTTTTATTTTGCCAATTGAGAAAAATGTTGACAAAAAAGCAGGAGAGGATTGCCTCAAGCTTCTCTGCAAGCGCGCGCTCTCCAAAATTTTGTTTTAAAAGGTGAACAATTTTTAGATGTTTGATTCAATACTTTCGTAGATATGACTTTGGTTGCATATTTATTAAGCTAAAACTTGGGTCCCAAAAACTAAGATGGGTCTCTCAAGAAGATTATGGAAACAACTTTTGCATTTGTTTCCTTGTGATGTTGCCTTTTTAATCATAGTGATGATACAGTGCTGATTTGAATTACCCAGACCAAACGGCCGAAGTTGGAAACTTAAACATGTCTTTCTCAGAGTGTGTTCAAACTAAACAAAAAATGAAGAAAACAGAATTGCTTAAAGTTTTACCAGTAACTTTCCTGTGTAATTTATTTTGAAGATTTGGTACCAAGTTTTTAAAAGCTTTAGAAAAATTGAAAAATAAAATTGATAAAATTGTTGACAAGAAAACTGAAAAAAAATTCCGCTATGCTTCTCTGGAATTGTAGATTTGATTCCAGACGTATATTTATTGAGCTAAATCTTGGTTCCCCAAAATTTGTGTCAGGTTTTCAAAATCAACTTATCGCCCGTCCAACACTTCGAAAACAACTTTTGCATTTGTTTACTTGCGCTTTTGCCCTTTTCAAAATTTTGATGGTAGAGTGCTGATTTAAAATATCCGGATCAAAAAAACAAAGAAGGAAAATTTAACACGTTGTTCACTTTGCTCGCAGTGCAAAATTAAATCTTCAAAAAATTGTGCGTAACGTTCAAAACTTTTTGCAAGCAAAAATATATAAAGTTTATGTATTTAAAATGACATTCTTTGACTATAAATCAAAAATATATACTTCTATAAAAATTTTTTTGGAGGTTATATCCTCTTAAGACTTTGTTGGATTGTTTAAGAGCCTCACTTTGGTTTAATTTGCTCAACAATTGACCTGGTAACTTAAACATACTTCTTGACTTACCGAAAGAAACAAAAATGACCCATTTTTGCGGTAATTTTTTTCCAAAATTTGATAAATAAATTGCATAATATTTATGTCAAATTTTATAGCAAATTTTGTTCTTTTAATTTTTTTGTCTAATCTCAATCAATAGAGAAAAATGCGTTTAAACTGCCAATGGTTTTGCTCGGTTAATTTATATCAGCAGTCTGTACAAACCAACCATACATGCTTTTTTTACGAATTCAACTACTATTTTTATACCAGGTGTCCAGGCTCAACTACTATTTTTATACCAGGTGTCCAGGCTCAGGGGTGGGGTGAGGGGGGTTGGTTTAACATAGTTTTTAAAATGTTGGTTTTAAAAAGCTTTGTCAAAACAGTATTTGCTAAAAAAAATTTTGCCGCAAACAACTTTTGAAAAAAAAAGCCAAAACAGGCCAAAAATAGGCCTGAAAAAAAAACAGGCCAAAAATTAGTTTTTAAAGTTAAAGTCAGATTCTACTTTACTATCGATGTCAGATGCTTCGTCGTCAATACTTTTTATTCTTAATGAGTTTCTGATTATTATTATTCTCAAACCACCGACTGAAACTTAAAAAGTTTAAATTTGCTTACATGGCGAGGAGAAGAGAGAGGCTGTAAGTGATTTTTCCCTCTGTTGAGGAGAAAGAGGGTGGGATGCGAGTGGGCAGTTGGAATGCGAACGGGAACCGGTACTCCCCCTTGTCCAGACTAAACAGCTGGAAATGCTGCTGTGGTTGTTCATTGGTCTGATCGCTAGTTGTCTTCGGAGAAGTTTCTGTGTTGTAGACACGTGGTTTGTTCCTACCTATAGATGGAAGATCTGAAAAGACAACAAGTAACATTATTTGTAGCATATCTTTTTCTTTTGTTTCAGGTTCGCGACATAGTCAGAGATTTTAAATGACATATCTTTCAACAAAATTTTTTCTAACGCACGTCCTTAAAATATTACCACCAAAAATGCAAATTTGACTGCCATATTGCCCCATGTGCGTGTACTTAGTTTGCACCGAGGCTCTCATTATTTACCACATTATCAAAAGATGTAGTCTTAACGAAAAAATCCCGAAAGTATCACGCAATAATGTGGCATATATTGAAAGTGTCGTTCGAAAGGAGAAGCACACATTAGCATGTGACTTTGCATGCCTTTATTGATATTACAAAAGTTATCAGGAGCAGGGGCGGATCTAGGAGTTTCTCGAGGGGTGCGGATTTTTTTTTGCTCGAGGGGTGCGGATTTTCTCGAGGGGTGCATTTTTTTTTGGCGCGCGGTCCCCCTTAAATTTAGTATAAACTGGCCCCATTAGAAAAATTATAGATTCCGCCTTCCGCCGAACCCCCCTTCTCCGCCCCTGGTCGGGGAGGCGAGTTCAAAGATCTTTTTTCTAAAACCATTTGTGTTATTTAGAAAAAAAGTTATATTTTTTTGCGTTATAAAGTTTCCTGTAGTTTGATATATAACATCAATTATTAATCAAAATTTATTGGCAGTGTATGTATTTGCTGTCTGGTTTTCTGACCACCAGTAAGTCTTGTAATACCTTCTTTGAGTATATCGTAGACAGAGTTAACATATGTCTCCCTGTTGGAATGGGTAGTCATCTGTCTGGAGTCTATCTGGAACGAGGAGGATGATCTCTTGCCAGAGCACTTCTTGGCCAGATATCTCCAGGACTTGTAGGAGGAAGAGGTGGTGGAGATGGAGTCAGATTCGGATTCGTCTTCTAAGCAACTGCTGGCGAACATCTCAAAGCGACACACAGCTTCTCCCTTCAACTTCAGTTTAAACTCTAAAATTAAACGATTTTAAGAGGTTTTGAATTTAATTAAAGTTCAATATTTAATCATTATAAATCGTTTTCAGGCATTTACATTACTGAAATTTACTATACCACATTTATACATTTTTCTGCGAACGGAAATGATCAGCTTTTCGACCCCGGCTAAAAAATGCAACCTAAATATTTTCAACACTTTTACAAAAGTTTTTGGTTGTATTAAAGCATTTTTGTAGAACTTGATCACGAGATTCATTAAAAATTTTAAAACCCTTAACTTCATATTATGAAAATGAAGTACTAAAACCAGTACGGGTGTAAAGGTCGACCTATACGGGTATTTAGTGATATCATAGGGGTCAAAACTTGTGCCAGCAGTTTCAATGAACTTTGAAAAATTAGCAACCAAATATTGCCAAATTAAATATTGATCGTTAAATGTTTTCTCATTCAGCAGACACAAAATTTTTTTTCAATTCAAAAAATTACTATTAAATTTAAAAACTGTTCTTCTAAAATTCAAAAAATATTTGTCAAAAATTCAAATTGAGTTGTTTAGCCATATGATCGTCGCAATCAAGTGATGCAAATTCAAATGAAATTTCCTCGAAAATAGACTTTCATTCAGTCAAAAGCGATCTGAACAATTTTACAGTAAAAAAAGAATCGCTACACAGCAAAAGTGATTCAAAATGGATAATCAGTGGCAAGTAAGTTTAAAATGTGACAAAAACACAATGTGACAAAGTTGAAACAAAAGACTGCGGCTTTTGTTTCAACTCGACACTCGCGGCTCACCAAAAAAAAAGAATGAAGAGGTTTTTGATTGGAACAGTGCAATGCATTAACAATTTCAGCGAGAGCTTGAATCGCTCTCAAAATCAAATTCAGATCGGGAGGAGCCAAAATCTTGATAACTTAAAAAACAGATATTTTTCGACTTCATCAATTACAGTTTTTGAATTTTTTTCAAAAACTTCTAAATAATCGATACCTGAGTCAGAATTCATCAAGATACTTTTTCGATAAGTTTTTTTTTCGAATAGTCAACTTGGGCAATCAAAATGAATATTGTGAGCAACTTTCTAGTTTCTCTATTAACGCACATGAAAGGCGGTGAATTATCCGACTCTGAAATTATTCTTTATGCGATTGAGACAAGCGGAATGGTCCTACTTATGTGTTATCAGACATAATTTATCATTTTAAGTTGACATGCGTTGTTGGGCAACATTTGCAAAAATACATTAACAGAAAATTGTGTTTTTTTTTCTTTTTTGTTGTTCATGGCCTAGCAGTTGCATTGCTCATTGTTTTTTAAAAACAAACTACGTCCTTTTTAGAATGTTCATTGACTCTAAGGAATTACTTCAAGACTTTGTAAAAATTTCTGGAGTTTTTAGTTGCGAAAACATTATCAGCATGACTGATCGTAACCGGGAGAAGTTCTAAAGAAGCTGAATATATCTTGTGGAACAAAAACATAACCCTCGAACCGGTAAATGTTTTAAAGACTGGGTAATTTTTGGGAAGATCATAATAAATAAAGCATCAGGGTTAAAAGTGCTAGCAAACAGAAACCAAAAAAACAACAGTGGAGCCGCCCGGGAACATTTACGTGGAAATTGGGGATGTAAGCTTCGAAACAGTTGTTAACTTGCCTATATACAAGTGTCCTTTGCAAGCACTGTAAACAGCAACGAGCAACTGATTCCGCTCTTCACTCATTAAAAGACATTGCCGTGTATTTGGAGTTAAGCAGACCTTGAGGGGAATAATTTCTTCCTTTTCGATTCGGGGTCGGATGAAAAAGACCAAATGTTATTACTTGCCACCAAAGAAAATTTAGAAAATCTGGAAAGCAAAACAATCTGGCATGCAGTTGGAACGTTTAAAACATGTCTCGCGTTATTTTATCAAATTTTTACAACTCAGGCTGTTTGTAACGATCAAATTGTTCCATTTTTTTCCGCTTCAAAGTAAAAGTTAAGAACAATACATCCAAGCGTTCAGGTAATTAAAAGAAATCAGTCCTGGACCTGAGCCCTCACAGATTGTGCTTGATTTTGAGAAGGCTTCAATTAACGCGGTCAGAAGATATTCAATGCAGTAACTTTAAAAGGATGCTTCTTTTCTGTTGCTTAAGCAAATTGGCGCAAAATTTGGATCGGGTTGTATTAGCACCATTTAATCGAGATAATAAAAAACAAGCATGCTTCTGAAGTCATTTGTTGCGCTGGCACTAATACCTGAGCCTGACTTTGAAATCGGCAGGGTTGCTTTTTGCAGTAGAAAGTCCGACAAAAATGACAAGTTATTCTTATTGGATAACGTCAAAAACTCAAATCAACTTGGATTGGAACCTTCCTCTGAGGATGCAAATGGGTCCGTCAATTTTTTATTTAACCCTGGAATCAATTCGAAAACGCCAAAAATTGAAGACAGAAAAACAGCAATTGGTCGAGGCATGAGACAAGGTTTTCCAGATGGAGTTGAGTTGTGCTCACCCTACTGTTCATAAATTTGTCCAGTTCCTCAAAAAAGGACAAAGTTTGCCGAAGAACTTAGATAAATTGATCTCCTCAAACATTATTGCAACAATAACAATTTCAAGCTACTTGAGGGCCTCTTGTTTTTTTTTGTTTTTTGTTTTCCTTTTTCCTTAATTTAACCCTTTCATCTAATTTCTTTTGGTCTGATCAAGCTTTCACAGCTACTGATTGTTGTCTGCTACGAATTGTCGCATGCTACGAATGGTCGCTTTTTGCAAATGCTACGAATGGTCGCTTGCGACGAATTGTGGCGATGCCCCATTTTTGGCCGTCAATCACTGACATTTTTCTAAGGGCGCCTTTGCGCAGATAACTACTAATTTTAAAC